ATAAATAATTTAAAGATTTATTATTATTTATAGGCAAAACTTTTAAAATATAAGAAATTCTCAATAATATATTTTTAATAAGAATCTTTTATTTTGGAATATAAAATGAAGTAATTGAATTATTTAAAAATTCTTTTAGTAATTGATTTAAAATTGAATAAGAAGAAATACTATTAGAAAATAATTGAAATTCTGAAACTTTTAGTTTTTTAATTATTTTATTCGAATTTTTATTAATAGAATTATTTTCTTAATAATATTTATAGAGATTCGAATTAGATTCTTTATTATATTTTATTAATAAACTATTAAATTTAAAATCCTTTTCTTTTAATATTATTTTATTTCTAATATTTAAACTATTAATAAAAGAATTCAATTCAATTATATAATCTCTTAAATCAAAAAATTCATAAAATCATAAATTCAATTCTAAATATTTATTTTGTTTATTTAAAGAAATATTTTTTAATATAATATTAGAATATTCATAATATATAAAATCGATTTCAGAATTATATTCTATTAAACTATTCTGAATTTGATATATACTAATTTAAATCAAATTATTTTTAAGAATTAAATTATTTAAATTGATTTTTTCTTTTATAAATTCTCTTATAATTCCTATAATTATTTATTTATATTTTTAAAGATTCAAATTAATATTTAATATTAATTAAGAATATTTTTGAAAAATATATAAAAGATTTGAAAAAACAAGAGAATATTAATTAAAATACTTTAAATAAGGATTTATCAAATTAAAATTGAATTTGAAATTAGTAATATTTAATACTTTTATAAAGGGATTAATATAAATAATATATTTTAATAGAATATTAGAAACTAATAGAAAAAAATATTTAAATTTAGAGGTATAGAATTCTATATAGAATTTTAATTTATTAATTAAAATATTTGTAATAAATAAGGAATTATCAATATTTAAAAATAGTTTTCTCTAATTTTTATTTGAATTCTAATATCTTAAAATATATAATTCAATATTTTTTAAAGATAAATTATTAATTAAATGAATTAATAAAAAAAGTATTTTCTTAAATTCCAAAATATTTTTTAAATATTTCTTATAATTTGATTTATTCAATTTCAAATTATTATTTGATATAATAAAGAAATAATTTCATAATCTTTTTATTTCAATTATTTTATTGATTAAATATTTATTATTAGATTTAATATTGAAATAAAAATTTTCAAAAGATTTAAAAGGAGTTATATTTTTATGATTTTCAATTTATTAAATTCTTTTAATTTGATATATGAAAATTCTTCTAAATCAATTTTTATTAGAATTGATTTATTAAAAAAGAAGAAATCAAATCTAAAATTGATTTAAATAGCTTTTTAAATTATTTATATTAATTATAATATTTTATAAAAAAATATATTTTTATAAATAAAACTAATAATAATAGAAACTCTTATTTGATAATTCTTTATTTATTTTAAATATATAATTTCAATATAATAGAATTTCAACTAAAATATTTTGGATATTAATTTTGAAAATAATTATTTATAAATTAAAATAGAATCAAATTTAAATTATAAATGGAATTAATTAATAATTGCTGAATAGAATATTTAATAATATAAAGTTGAGTATAATAAATAAAATAAAAATAATATTAAAATAATTGAAGAATATCTTTAATGGAATTATTATTTTAAATGATTGATAAGTAAAAAAGCAATTAATAAATTATTAAAAATATTTAAATTAGTTTTTTATTTAAAATAAATAATTATAATATTTAATATTAAATTTCTTATTTCAATTAAAAATTTATTATTTGAATTATTAATTTTAATAAAATTTTTAATAATAGAATTAGAATTAGATTTTGAGGAATCTAATTTAGATAATCGAAGTGAATTAGTTGAATTAAATGATTTATTTGAATTATTCGAATTATCTGAATTATTTAATTCATTTAATTTATTTCGATCATCTGGATTAAATTCCTTAAAATCATTTGAGTTTTCAAAAGGAATTGAATCATTTTCTTCTTGATTTAAATTCAAATTATCAAATTTAATTTTGATTGCTTTTTTAATAAAAGACTTTTTGCTCTTTTTAATCATTAATTCTAGAATCTATTCAGAATCTAAAATTTTATTAAAAAAATAAGTTTTTAATAATAATTCCTTCACCTTTATATTCAAATCTTTGAAATTAGAATAGAATTTATTAAAATAAAAATAAGAAATAAATAAAATAAAACTAAAGAATAACTTAAAGAAATTGAAATATTTAATATAATTATAGGAATTATAAAGAAGTTTAAATCCTTTATTTCTGATTTTATCTTTTTTAAAACTATTTAGAATATTTAAATGAGATTTATTTAAATATATTACTTTTTTCAAATTCAAATATAAAAGGATTTCTAAATTTAAAAGAATAATATTGAAATAGAATTTGAATATAGAGTTTTTTTCTTTATTATAAAATTCAGAATTAGATTTTAAATCATTAATATTAAACTTTCAAATATATTCAATATATCTAATATACTTTTGAAATAGAATAAGATTTTCTCTATTAATTTTAATAGAATCAACCTTATTTTCAATACTCTTCAATTTAGAATTAAAACTATTCTTTCAATTCTTTTTAATTAAATTCAAATTAAAAAAAAAAAAATAATAAATTATTATTTAATTTATTATTATCTTTATTAATATTATTTTGAATTAAATTAGAATTTTTATTTAAAAGATTCTTTTCCTTTATTTAAACTTCAAAAAAGAAACAATTTAAAAATAATTCTTATTCTAAAATAAATTTAATAAAATCAAAATATTAGAGTAAAGGAATATTATTATAATTAAAATAAAAATATTGTTTAAGATTTATTTAATTAAATTTAATAATATTATAAAAGAAATATTAAAATAAGGATTCAATTAATAATTTAGGAAAAAGAATTAAGAAAAATTTAAATTTGAATAAATAAATTAAATAAAGATTATAATTAATTAATTCAATATTTAAAGAATTATATATATTATAAGCTTTTTGAATCACTTTTTTTTATAAATAAAAATTAAATTAAAAAGGTATTTATTTTGCAAATGATTTTTCAAATTTTAAATATAAATTTAATAAATATTATAAAGAATAAATTGAAATATAGAATAATAAAAAAAAAAAAAATTTTATTAATTTCTTAAAAAATCAATTTAGCCTTAAAATCCCTAGAATTTTTAAAATCATTAAATAATTTATTAATATTAAATTCAAAAGAATTAGATAAAAAAAAAGAGATTTGATAATTAATCATTTTTAATAATATTGATTTAAAAAGATAATAAATTTAATAAATTAAAAAATAAAAAAATAAAAAATTAAAAATTAAAAGATTAAAGAATTAAAGATTTAAAAGATTTTCAAAGGATTTAATATAAAATTGAATTCTAAAGAATTTTAAATAGAATGAAAATTTTGATAGAAATAAATCTGATTATTTACTATTTATTATTATAGTAATAATTCTAAGAAATTATTATAAAAATATTAAAGTTTTAAGGAATTTCGAATTATTTTATAAAATTATAAGATTTATTTCAATTTAATATAAAATCTTCAATTAATAAAATAATTCAATTGTAGTTTCAGAGAATTAAAATTCAATTGATTTTTTATTAGAATTCAATTTAAAACTTTTAAAAATATTAATATTTCATTGAATTTGGAGTGGTAGTATAAAATCGATTTTTTATTTATATTATTCTTTTTCAATTCTTATTTCTAATATTATTATTTTCTTATTTTTTATTCCTAATATCACTATTTATTCTTGTTATCACCATTTTTTCAAATAAATTATTTTTTTAATCTAATATACAATCTTCAATTAATAAAATAATTCAATTTTAATTTCAAATAATTAAAATTTAAAGGATTTTTTATTAATATTTAATTTAAAGCTTTCAAAAATATTAATATTTCATCGAATTTGGGGTGGTAATATAAAATAGAGTTTTTGCCTATACCATTATTTCTCTATCAATCCATACCATTATTAGTAATGTACACTAAAAAAATCCTTGGAATAATAGTTAGAGCTTTCAAAAATATTAATATTTCATTAAATTTGAAGTAATAGTATAAGATTGATTTTTTATTTATATTATTCTTTTTCAATCCTTATTTCTAATATCATTATCCTCTTATTTTTTATTCCCAATACCACTATTTATCTTTATCACTATTACCTTTTCAAATAAATTGTTTTTTTAATTTGATATATAATCTTTAATTGATAAAATAATTCAATTCTAATTTCAGATAATTAAAGTTTAAAGGATTTTTTATTAATATCTAATTTAAAACTTTCAAAAATATTAATATTTCATTAAATTTGGGGTAGTGGTATAAGATAGAGTTTTTGCTTATACCACCATTCCTCTGTCAATCTATATTATTATCAATGGTGCACACCAAAAAAATCCTCGGAATAATAGTTAGATCTACAATACTACAAATCCTATCTTTGATCAATTATAACTTTTGCTACAATATCTCAATAAAAAAATAATTATTATTATTTGATTTATCGAATCAACATGAATTGAATAATATCAAAAAAAGCAAAATATTTTTTCCAATCTTGATCTAACCTTAACCCTATATCTGGTCTTCATATAGTATTCCTATAATAGTAAAAATAATATTATTGAATTCGTTAAATCAAAATGTTTTGAATACCCTATTTATTTTTCAAATTTTTTTCCATTTCTTATTCTAACCCTCACCTTATATTTGACCTTCATATCACCTTGCACCCACTCTAACACTAATATTAAGGAAATATTTATTATAATAACTAATCCTAAGCGTTTTTTATATAAATAATATTAAATATATTGTTTGAATGAATAGAATTTCTATATTTTCTTCTACCCCACATACGCATGCCACGTTCTTAGTCACGTATTCCAACAGAAAAGCAGGGAAACCTCACGATTTAGACTTCCTCTACTCTCTCCCTGGCCTTGACACGGCGGAGATAAATCCAGACAACGACATAACCGGTGCTTCCAGCAGCCATCATGACACCCGCAAAGAGCTGCAATTCCCAGAAGGGATCCGTTGCAGGATTAGGGACCAAAGCACCACCGATCGGATTGCTGATCAGGGCAGCGATGGAGATGATAGCAAAGTATGTTCCGAGCCGAGTGCCCAATTCTTCCAAATTGGAGATCTGCGCAACGATAGCCGGTCCCAACGAGACAAAGCCACCAGAGGAGAAACCATAGAGAGCGGCGAAAACGATGATGGCTGCATTGGATCGGGCAGGAATCCATAATGCCAAGCACAAAATGGCAGACAGATAACTGACAGAAATCATGACAACAAAGACGCCCAGTCGATCGGCTAAATAACCAGGGATCGTGCGTCCGAGAATACTTGAAAGTTACTCATGTTAGCTTTTAGATCTGTTGAATCCGAGAAAGAGAAGGAAGTTTGTTCGTTACCTTAGTGCACTGATAATTGAGACAAGGTAGTTTGCCAAGGAAGCTGACATGCCATTTCGGACGGCCATTTCAACAATATAATTGAAGGGCAAGAACACGCCCAAGAAGAAGAGAAAGGATGAGGTGATGACCAGGAGGAAAGGAAGTTCCTTGAGGGGTTGAATGAATTGATTAACATTAATCTTCTTCGGCTGGTGGTGAAGACGAGACTTGAGGGTCAGGTTGGCAATGACCATCATGAAGAGGATAAGGAAGGCACAAATTCTCATCGTCCAGGCAAAGCCAACTTCAACGGTTAATTTGTTGACCATAATTGGAAAGATAACTCCTCCGAGACTTGAACCGGAAAAGACGATTCCCAATGCGAATGCTCGACGCTCCTTGAACCAGGTGGAAACGGAGGCAGTTGCAACGAAAAAAATCGCGGATGCACCAATTGGGCTACAGACCCCCTGAGCAAGAATGATTTGATAATATTTGGTCGAGATGGAAACCATCATTAAGCCAAAGACATGGAAAAAGCTGCCAAACAGGAGTAACAACCGAGGCCCGTAGCTATCGAAGATTCGACCGGCAAAAATACCCTATAAAACAAAGAGACAGAATCGGATCAGTGATGTTGAACGGATGACAATGATGCTGCTGTGGAAAGACAAAACCTACTCCGAAAAACATCATGAAGCTCTCCAGTGAAGGAATCCATGCTATCGTACTGTTTGAATAGTGGGCAAGCTGATGGAGACTGTAGTAATTTTGAAAAATGCCGATACCTATTAGAACTTAACGTCAGTATGGATGTACCTTGCTCTCACATAACTGAAGGATATACAACTAACAGTTAATCCAACCGAAGCTCGTAAACAGACAGCAAAAAGCTCCGCCAACCACAGACCAGGCCACCCAGCCTCCATCTGGAGGTGGACCTAGTGGTGGCGGCGACTCACTATTGACAGGTTGTTCTTTCTGTTTACTCATAATGATTTGAACGCTGTTTGGGTGAGGATGTCGCTATCAAGAATTATATATTTGTTTACCTCGATGATGCTTAATTACAGACCTTGAGAGAACAAAGTAGGGCTGCGGAGATAACGGGTATAAGAACCTGACGCCTCCTCTTTCCAATATTTCAGATAAGAACCGGCATGGGTCCCTATGAAGTCGCTTAAACTTTCCATATTTGAACTTGGGAACTTAGTGCTTGATTGCTTTAAGCTTCCGTGGGGGCCTCGTTAGATCCCCTGAGATGACGCTTCCCGTATCAGCATAGACATGGAAGTAGCAGTTACAACTTGGCCAGTTCATAGTAGTGGCTAGCTCTTCGGGCGGGCTGCGGGATGTTCCAAATTCTGAGAGAAATGGAGTAACAGTTTATCCGAATGGTTTTTCCGTGCTGCATCAGGAACCCTTACCTACCCATTTAGACAGGGAGTACCCTCGGTAATCGCCTGCGATAACTAGAAACGGATTTTGAATATGAATCTATTATCCGAAAAGGCCAGCAAGTACACGTTGCGTAAAGCAAGTTTGTCCAGGGAATCAGGGCTTTTATCTTTTCTTGTCGTATGAGTAAAGAAGTACTCCCGCGATCCTTGCATACTTTGGTGTATGGACCTGTTTATCTCCCAAGCGATGGCCGGAAAATTACACATTGGGGAGAGAACAAGACCCAACTCTCTGATTACAATCTACCAGTCACTGGTGTAGGACCATGACGGTGCCAGCAACAACTGTTTGTGTCGTCGGCGCTGGAGCCCTGGGGCTCGCGGCCACGAAAGCTTTCCTGGACGATGGATTCCAAGTGACGGGATTCGAAGCACGCGAATACGTTGGAGGGTTATGGAAGGACTCTCATGATTCCACCATTTCAGTCCATGCCACAACCGTATTCAACAGCAGCAAATGGAGAATCGCTTTCTCCGACTTCCCCTTGAGCGACGAGGCAGATATATATCCAACCGCCGCCCAGGTACATCAGTATCTCGAAAGCTACGCCGATCATTTCGGGCTGGCAGAGAAATACCGGTTAGGTACAAAGGTCCTTCAAATGCGACACACGGGCAAGCAGTGGGCCGTCACAGTTCAAAACATCAAGCCCTATGAGCAGCCCAGAATCGAATATTTTGATAAACTTTGTGTAGCGACAGGTGCTTTCCACAAGCCTCGCTGGCCCAAAATTGAAGGTCTTGAAGGTTTTCAGGGTCAAGTCCTTCATTCCATCAATTTCCACGGGGACCAAAAGTACCCGGATCAGAATGTTCTGCTTGTCGGACTGCATGCAACGGCCCAGGATGTATGCTGTGCTCTGGCCAGGCCTGGGAATGCGAAACATGTCTATTTGGCCCATCGCAAAGGGGTTCTCTTGCTCCCACGCTTCCGGCCAGATGGATCGACATTCGACGCTCATGGCACTGTCAAGATGACGTTTATGATGACCTTCATGAACAAATACTTGAACGCCCCCTTCTGGTGGATGATGCAGCGTGTTCTTACCAAACAGTCGCAGGAAGGCTTTCCCGATGCTCCCGAAGCCTGGCAACTCAGTCCATCTCCTTCAGTAGTCGTCAGGACGCCGTTGATGGCTGATGCCTTGTGGCCACTCCTGAAATCTGGATTCGCGGAGCCAGTTTCGACAATCCGCCGCATTAGCGGTCCCAAGTCCATTGAGCTCGTCGATGGTCGCACGCTCGACGACATAGACACGATTATCTATTGTACTGGTTACCACTTCAGCCTTCCAGACGGTTTCATCCCCCAGGATGACGATGCAGAAGGATACAATCTGTACCCACCTGGCCGTGAAGGCAGAGAGCCTCGGCTTTATCGTAATGTCTTCCCAATGCACGAGAACGAAGAGATCCGCAACTCGCTGGCGTACCTTGGGCACGGATACATTCCCTTCCCCGGCTTCGTTCAGTTTGAAATGACAGCTGCTGCCGTGAGCCAAGTATGGAGAGGGCATTCACCGTTACCATTACTGCCGCAGATGCAGGCCTGGTTCACGCAGCATCTGAGGCGCAGGAAGGCTCTTCAAGACCGCTATCTTCCCTTGGAGAATTCAACATTTTATCCAATCCTTCTGGATATCACTGACTCCCTTGAGTGGATAGACCAAACTGCTGGAGCGGGATTGTATGAAAACTTGGGTGGCGGTTGGGTCAATTGGCGCGCATGGAAGCTATGGTGGGAAGATAAAGAGTTCTATCATATTTTGCTAAACGGTATCTTTACCCCGGCCATTTGGAGACTGTTTGAGACTGGCAAGCGTCGCGCGCTCCCATGGCACGAATGCAAGCAAATGATTATCTCTGAGAATAAGAGAGCAGAGGCGGAGCAGAGGACGAAGCTAGCATCTCTGCAGGCAAAAAAGGGATTTGCGAAGTCGAGTCTTCAAGCAAAGAAACGCAGGTAACACACGTTGTACATAGCATGAGAAAAAGCAATCCTTTACGTATTTTCAAGTAAATTCCTTTCGAGACCATGTCTGATCAACTTTTGGAACCCTTGCATTATTGTGTTTATATCATTAAGGAGAGCAGAAGTATTTGCCTGATTTCAAATACAATGAGTTCCGAATTTCCGATACACCCAATTTCATACCTAGCTTCCAAAGCGTGACTTTTTGGTGTTGCAATCTTTTCGCTGAAAATGATTAATAATCAAATTCTAATCTTATAATATAGCTTCAAAATCGAAAATCCGTTTATCAAATGAAAGTGATCAATTAATTCAATTATTATTCGAAGTTTGAAGTGATTCAGAATTATATTAATCGATTGATAGATGGTTTAAATGATATGAAATTTGAAGGGTTTATTTTCTTTGAAATATTTAGTTTTCAAAGAAAACCATTTAAGTCGAATACCCCTCTTTTGAGCCACCTCTGTTTTGGGACACCCTTTTACATCAAAAATCACTTTTTTGATTATTAATATCTTTATTAATATCGAATAACGTGTTTTATCAATGAATAGTTTATATTAGTAAATAGGTTATTTCGAAAATCATTTAAATCAAACTTCTTAAAATATTAATATTTTAATATTTTAATAATTAATTATTATTTTCTTAAATAAAAAATCTTCAAAAATAATTAAAATCTAAAATTTCTATTAATCTAGTTTTATAAAATAATTTTATTATTTTCTTTAAAAAAAAAAGGAAATTATTAGAATTTTTATTGTAAAAAAACTATTTTTATAATAATAACTTTATAAATTCGAACTTTTTAAAACTAATTTGATTTTTTAAAATTTTATCTATTCAAATAAAAAGAATATATAAATATATAAAAATGAATTTTATATATAAAATAAGTAATCTATTTATTAATATAAATCATTCATTAATAAAATACATCATAATTTAATAAAAAAAATTAAACTTATAAAATTCAAATTACTCTAAATCTATTTTAAAAATTTCAAATTTTAAGAAAAATCTTATATAAATTTAAAATCCAATATTTTGAATTTCTAAATCTTAATTTAAAAAAATCCTAAAAATTTGAAATATTTAAAACAAATTTAAAATAATTTGAATTTTATAAGTTTAAATTTTTATTAAATTATAATGTGTTTTATTAGTGAGTGGTTTGTATTAATAAATCAAAAAGTGATTTTTGGTGTAAAAGAGTAGCCTAAAATAGGAGTGACTCAAAAGTAGAGTGGTCGACTTAGTTTTTGGATTTTTGTTTTGAAATTTCAATCTCGATTAATATAGTTTAGAATCAAATGAAAATTGAATAAATAATAAAATCCATTATTCTATTATATATTATTATATTTATTCAAATCAAAATTAGATTGATAGAGTTATTGTAGATTGAAATATCGAAATTTAATATTTAGATGGTTTTGATGAGGCATGAAAAAGTCATGTTTTAGAAGCTAGTTAAGAAACTGAGTATAACAAGGAGTCATAAAGCTGTGAGAAACTCAGGTTTTATTATGCAACTCCCTTCTGCTGATGAAATTTTATCTCGCTGATCCAAGGTCTTCCTTGATCATGTCTGCTGCTTTCTCAGCAACTGCATACACCGTCGCCATAATTGCAGCACTGATGTGCATAGGGAAGACACTGGCGTCAACCACGCGAAGCCTACCAACCCCATTCACTCTCAGCCGTCCGTCCACAACCTGACCCATGGCACAGGTTCCCAAGGCATGATGATATGTCACAATGCGATCACGAACATAGTCTCTCGCCTCGTTTCCATTACAAAGATCGACTTCAGCAGGGGGGTCAACTCGCCTCGCAACCTTGTCTTTGAGAAGAGGTGATTGGAAAACTTGGTCGGTAAATTTGACTCCAGCAGCCAGGATGTCAACGTCGGCTGGGTGGGAAAGGAATCCTGGATCGATTAATGGGGCATCCAGGACGTCGTGTGATTGAATATGTACGCTACCGCGAGAGATGGGGTACATGTTGCTGACTGTGACCGAGTAACAGGCGTTGTAACCGTCAGGGGCACCAGACATCAGTTTACTGCAATCGAAGTGACCTCTCCCGATATTGAAATTTGCTGGCGAACAAAACAGAAGGATATCTGCGGCTTTGGGACTGCGCATACGTGCGACGATGGCCTCTTGCTGTTTCTTCTGGAAGATGGGGTCTTGAAACGGTGATCGAGTATTCGCATGAGAACTAGACAAGATGTTGGAAATCGTTTCTTCAAATTCTGTCTTGTCCACTAGTGAAGAATATGGAATGTAACCGGTGAGATTGACGGCTCCAGAGAATACCCCAGAATGCGATTCCATGTAGAGTTTCTGATGTTCTGCCATCAAAGCTGGGTCTCGAAATAATGAGTCAAGTGATAGAACATCAGGAGCTAGTTCATAGGCAACAGCAGACATAGTGTGCTCTTGAAGATTGTTGCCGACATGAGGGTTAGGTACTAAGCAAGGAACTTGCACCTCTTCAAGAACCTTGGGATCTCCGATGCCTGAAAGTTCGAGGAGCTGGGGACTTTGTATGGATCCAGCACTGAGGATCACTTCCTTTCTTGCGAAAGTCGAGTAGACGACTCCTTCGTGCTGAAACTCAACTCCTTTTGCGAAAAGGAACCCATCAGAGCCACTCTCTAATATGATTCTACGGGCGAGGGCGTTCGTCAGGACTATTAAGTTTGCCCGCCCAGAGATCGGTGCCAAATATCCACTGGCTGCGTAGCTTCGAATTGGCTTCTCTACTCTGTTAGTTGTAGATAGAGTTCTATAAAACCCCAGATGGCTGCCGTTGTACGGGTCCTCGGGTCGTGAAAGGCCGGATACTTCATCGAAGGCGAGTAGGAGCTTCTTTTCAAAAGGAACTTGCCAAGTACTCATCGAGGTGTGAATAGCCCCATTGAGGCCATGAGAGTCCTGATTCAGAGGGCATTCTTCAAGATTTCGATTGAGAATGTTAGGCTCGTCGAACTCTAGCCTCTCACCCCGTTCGAAGTATGGTAACAGATCAGACCATGACCAGCCTTGGATCCCAAACGCCTCGGACCAGTCATCAATATCTTCCGCGCAGGGTCGAGCGTAGGCCAGGAAATTGATACCACTTGATCCACCAAGCATTTTTCCTCGTGGTATATGATAAACTTTTTCTTTGGTTCCCGCCTGTAGGTAATGAGAATGAAGAACATATCGTGGATTCATGAGCCAAATTTCGAATAAAAGAAAGTGAAGGAGTAGAGGAAAATTTTAAATCATATACGCACCTGCGGAACACTTTTAAAGTTCCAATCGTATTCTGGATTACTTATCATCATTGCTGCTCTTGCTGGTAGATCAACGTTTGGATCGCCTATGCGTGAGAGGCCTGCCTCAATCACGCCGACTCGAATGCGTGGATCCTCAGACAAGCGCGCAGCGAGGACTAAGCCCGCAGTGCCACCACCAACGATAAGAACATCAAATGTATCCCGGAGGAAATCTTCCACGGTAGCCGTTTCCATTTTCTGTAGGAAGAGGAAAATATATTTGGAAGAGATTTCTGAGTCTATTTGACTGCTCTTCCTCAGCGTTCGTAGAGAATTTGAAAGCTTGTTTGGTTGACTGGCTCTTATTCCAGTGGCTTCTTTGCGGCGGAAATAACCGTAAATGATGAGAAAAATTACCGTAACCCTAAATCATCTAACGGCCATGAGGCTGTTTTGATGGCTGATTATACTTGAACCTTGAATTCATATTCTTACAAACCATGCTCATACATTCGTATACTTGATCTCTCTCGGGTGTTCCTCTCGGGTCTCGGAAAAACATAACCAAAAACACCAACCTTGAAATAAACAAATAGCCTCTTCATATTTCCGTACATATGGTTGAACGGAAATAGCGATCGGATTAAGTATAAATCTCAATTGGAGTCACAGATGTGTATTTGAAGCAAGCAGGAGTGACTACGAGCTTCAAATTTCTCACCATACATAGTCATAAATTTGTGCTACTGTTATTCCGACCCAAATGGAACCTCAGATTTCTTTTCCTGTACAAGCTGGTATTCCTCTCGAAATCTTGTTGGTGTAGCAGAGTATTAATTCGTATGATAACAGGGGCTGCTTACACGGCCACAATACACCACGACACTTATCCACTGGTCACCGCTGCCAATTGCAAAGAACAAAAGAATCGAGCTGTTTTCATCACCGGAGCTTCCCGGGGTATTGGTCGTGCGTGCGCTGTTGCATTTGCCCAAGCAGGCGCCTCTGCCATTGCTATAGGCGCTCGCTCGTCCCTTGACCCGGTCGAGAAAGCGATTCTCGAGGAGGCAGCAAAAGCTGGTCACCCGGCTCCCAAAGTACTCAAGCTCACGCTGGATGTTTCAGATGAGAAAAATGTTGCCTCCGCCTTTGCTCAGACAGAGCAATCCTTTGGTCGTCTCGATATTCTTGTCAATAATGCCGGACGCCTCGAGAATTGGTTCCCGCTCGCTGACACCGATCCCACTTCTTGGTGGGCGACTTGGGAGGTCAATGTGAAGGGGACATATCTGATGACGCGAGCCTTTCTTCCGCTCCTCCTCAGAGGTGGCCAGAAGACAATTATCAATATCAACTCGATCGGGGCGCACCTGTGCCGGGCGGGTGCCTCGGCCTACCAGACGGGGAAATTGGCGATATGTCGTTTGACGGAATTCACCAGCGTAGAGTACGGGGGACAAGGAGTTGTGGCAATAGCCGTTCATCCTGGAGCCGTCGACACTGAACTCATCAAGGCCTTACCTGCCCAGTATCATACGAATTTGGTCGATGCGCCTGAGTTGGCGGCCGATACGATCGTATGGTTGACCCGAAAAAAGCAGGAATGGCTCAATGGGCGATATATAAGCGCCAATTGGGACATGGAAGAGATCATGTCTCAGAAGGACGAGATTGTGGAGGGAAATAAATTGAGGGTCAGGTTGGTTCTATAAGACGTGAGATCCTTTAGAAAATGAGAGGATAGTAGAGAATAGCTTCTGATAAGCTCTTAAAATGAATGTTTCCCGAGTTGCATGTATCACTTCACCACTACAAGACATGTATAGATTCCTCGTTGATTTTAGTGAATCCTCATGAAGAGGCCTGTTTTCCTTAAGTTCTACTTTGTACCTAGAATGAAATAGTAGCTAGCTTTCAAACATACATTTGTCGATATTTCTCATCTACCTTCATCTTAGACGAATCAATCTCAGAGTCTCAGATCTCGAGTTACACAGTGGCTATATAAGAGTCACTTGAACCGATGATCCTTGCTTCCATCTTCTAAGATGACTGCCACCCCCCATTCCTATACAGCTTCGCAAAAGCCGAGCCCTCATCCGCAAGTAGCACCGTCGGACTTGCACATTCGACAACCCGGCCCTGATCCAGCACCACCACGCGATCAAAGTCCTGGATGCTCTGTAGCCGATGGACGATTGCTATGATAGTCCAGCCTTGAAACTCGGTCCGCAAGAGGGACATCATGACCTCCTCCGTAGGTACATCGACACTGGTTCATCACAGTAGTCGTTAGTATTATCTTCATACGATTCTCGAGAAGGGGGCAGTAGTGGAGTACCTGCTTGTTGCCTCATCCAGCAGCAAGATTTTACTTCTCCGCATCAGCATGGCCCTCGCCAAACAGAACAATTGTCTTTGTCCAGCGGACAGGTGACTCCCACGCATTTCTGCATCATGGCCGCCCATCCTCCGGATCTGCTCTGTCAATCCGACTTTTTCCAATGCAACTTGGATCTGGGATTCTGTGGCTTCGCTAAGAGGGTCCAAGTTGGAACGCACAGTTTCATGCCCCCCCGGCAGAAACCACGGGTCCTGTGGCAGCGAGTTGATGCGCCCACGGACTGTTTCTGGGGAAAACGAAGAGATGTCGTCGTGCCCAATGAGCACGACGCCAGACTTGGGGTCTAGCAGGCGTAGGAGAAGTGCGGCGAGAGTGGATTTGCCCGAACCCGTGCGGCCACAAATCGCGACCCGCTGCCCAGCATCGATGATCAGATTAATCTTCTGTACGACCTCGGGACCGGAGACCCTTTGATCGTTGTCAGTAATATATCGTTGATAAATGCAATCAGGGATACACGTACTGATATGAAGCAGAGACATCCTTGAACTCGATAGAAGTGTCCGAAGGCCATTCTACAGAGACGACTGCTGCTCCGTCGGACAGTTCTGCCGGCGTTTCTGCGACAAATCGCCGTGTTCTCGCAATAGCCCCCAAAGACGTCTCGATACTAGTCCAGTAATTCACGAAAGATGATAGCGTTTGACTGAAACTCACAATACTAACCATCGCAACTCCCAGCAGACTGCTGTTCATCGAATGCCGCAGCGTCACGGCTAAAGCAATGAGGATGATAGCCAAACAAGCGACGACAACATCTAGCACGAGATTTAACCAGTTCTGCAGGCACAAAAGCAGATAGAATGGTCGTTGCGCAAGATCGAGCAGTCCAAAGTTTTGGTTAAGGACGTACCCCTTCCATTTGAATGCACGTATGGTCCGCACCCCGTCCAAGGTCTCAGTGAGATGCGTATAGAGCGGGGATTTGGCTTCGAGGTCGAGTAGCCGCATCTGCCGGGAGGTCTGGAGGTAGAACTTTTGAAGATAGAAGAGCGCCACTCCTAAAAAAAGGCAGACACAGGGCCATATAGCCTGAGGAGACGCAAGTCAGGATTGCTCCGGCGATGGTTTTGCCAAGTCCTGTACATCTTTAGTAATGAAAGCGTGATAGAGAGAAGATGGCAGCAACATACCTTCGGTGGAAAGCAAAAGGGACATTGGTAATTGCATATCCATTAGGGTCATATCCTGAGTGAACCTGTTCGCGAGTCACGACGCTTTCTTCTATTGACTGAAACGGTTAAACTCACCGGTTCAAGAGAGATCCCGAGTCCGTGGCCGAGATAAAAGTCATAGGAGCCCTAGGTATCCAGGTCAGCATAGATTGACGCAAAAGAGTTCCAGAGTCCCGACCTCATTGTAGCTCTCAGAATTGAGTAGTGCAATCTACTCGCGGAGCTGGGAACCAGTGATATCAAATAGTGCCTGAACGCGTGTAAGCTGCAAACTGCACCGTAAACGGGCAAAAACTCAGTTGGCTCTTACCCTGCAGCGATCCCGAGAAAAGCTAGCGCCAGGATCCCAAAGACAGCATAGACGCCCAGCCATTTTCCTAGATCAGTTTCCGGCCTCGTCGTATTGGCGTCGACCCACCAGCTGAGCCACAGTGCTGCAAATCTATCAGTCAATGACTTGAATAGCTAATAGAGGGTCTGCCTAATTACGCTGTAGTGCTATAAAACTACACTGTATGGTGGTGAAAAGTAGAAATAAGCCAAAAGCTGGTTTGCCCATAGTGTTAATGTAATATAAAAGATTACGGGGATCTCGACGTCCGCGACTTTCACCTGCTTCCTCCTTATCCTTCTTTTCGTCGGGTATTGGAGAATCTGATGTACTTGAATTGATATCCAGCTTCGTAATGGAACTTGCGTTCTCGAATCCGTTTTTTTCCAAGTTGAGATTATGAAGATGTCCGGGTACTGATGTGAGAGATTGGTATGTGCCGAACTGTAATAGGCGACCCTCTGGGCTGAGAACGAGGATCTGATCTGAATACGGGAGCCATTTGACTGCATCTGTCAGCAGTGATCCTCAATGAAGATTAGATGGAGGTTTACCGGCATGAGTAACCAGCACAATAGTAGCACCAGTGTGTCGTATTAACCCATCTTGACTTAACAGTTGGTGAAAGCAGTGCCATTCCGTTTCCGAGTCCAGCCCGCTGAGGCAATCGTCCATCAGGACAATCTTCTTCCGGGCGTAGACGGCTCTAGCGACGGTCTAAGTGGGAACACAAATTAGATTGTTTTTAATTAATAAAGAAAGATAACTCCAGAAAACAGACACGTTTATACATACCAAGCGTTGTTTCTGCCCGCCACTCAATGAAATACCTTTACTTCCCACTCGGCTATTATCGCCGTCTGGAAACTGACGAATATCAACGTCCAAGGCACATGCCCGCAAACAAGAGATATACCATTCCTGATCATAATCCAAGTTGCCAACGATGTTCTGTCGGATACTTTGGTTCGTTAGGAAAGGCGTCTGATCACAATATGCAATATCATCTGTCGACAGGCTTACTGAGCCGCTGTGCAGGATCCCTTCGCCTAGCAAGATCTGGAGTAAAGTGGATTTTCCGCATCCAACGGGCCCGACAACGATGGTTAGTGTGCCCGCAGTAATCTGCACGGAGAGGTCGTGGAGGACGGTCTTCTCTGGAGACCAGCCTGCATTGACCTGCCTAAGTTCAATGATGCTGGTGCCGCTTTCGGATTTCTCGTATTTCGGCCCCCTATCAGTCTCAACATCAGAAACTCTGGGCTCACGGGTCAGGCGTCTAAAGTCGACCTGTTTCTTGCCTTCCGTGTACTGTTGAATACGATTGCAACACTCTAACGCGGAGGCTAGATTGGGAATGGCTGAGACTAGCTCATTCACCGGACTGATCAACACCGACAGCAGAGACAACGACGAGAAGATGGTTGCGGCACTTGGTGCCTTACCGGACGAGTACTTCGCAATAATGCCATAGCCGATGAAGGTGACGACGGGAGACAGCATGTTTGCGGCATTTCCTTGAGAAGCAATAGTTAATATAAGTTCGACAGCCTAGAAAGAGGAAGAGAACATACCGAGGGTGATATTGACGATCTGTACATATCGAAAACGCTTCGACTTTTGCAACTCTTGTTCTCTCAGATCTTGCACGTTCCCAGTGATCATATTGGTGAGACCAAGCATCTTCATACCCTTAATCGAGCCAAGAACGTCCGAGGTGTAAGCCACACGTTTCTGAACTGCTTGCATCCATTGTCGCTGGCGCGGCCGGATTTTCTTAGCAACTTGACTAGATGCGTATGCCAGAACTAAGAACACGATCATTAGTATTCACATTGCTGTAACATGCGGTGATTGAGTGATCATCAAACTCACTCAGAACAAAAATGACAGGTGCCACGCAAATTGCCCCGAGACGTGTCTCTAAAATCCAGATGGCGACGGTAGCCTGAATAATGTTGGGGGCTGTACTGATGACCCACTGAAGCGTCGAAATGACACGCTCGACATCGGCCCCCATCAAGCTTACAGGAGAAGACGCCTCTACAGTGCCCACGGCGATATCAAGGCTCGACTTATAGATGATGCTGATCAGCGCCGCGCGAATCATCGTGAGTGCCCGAGAAGTCAGATACTGGTACCACGCTGTCGAAATCTGAAGCAAGTATCAGACCTGTCTATTCATTTGAAACAGGAGAGGGAGAGGGAATATTAGATGAGACGTACAGCAATTCCAAGATACGTAATTCCAAAAGCTCCAATCAGCCCATAACCATATTGATTGGGTTCGGTTCCGCCCTCGACAAAATTGATGGCATCTTCAATCAAAAATGGCTGGGCCATACTGAATGCGATTAAAACAAGTCTAGGGACCATAGTTACAGTGATTGGAGCCCAGAGCGCCTTGGCTATCGCTAAGGCGAGAGAATAGCTTTTATCTTTGGAACCTGCATACAATTTCAGCTACAGATATCACGGAAAGCGATCTAAGGACAAGGACGAACTGGAATCCCACTGCTTCTGAAATCGCTCGTCGACCGACTGGGAAGAAATATACTCATCGATTGGGTACAATTCATGGACCGTCAAATTGCCCCAATTGCCTTGATAAATCAACGGGTTCAGCCAGGCAAAGAAACTAAGGCTGTAGATACCACTCCTCCGTTCTGGCATATCTGGGCCCTGCGTATGACTGTGGCTCGCCTTCGAAAGGGCCTCCATAACCAGCAACAGGCTCTTGATAGCCAGCGCAGCTACGAATACGGCGGAAGTAGCGGATGAGCCCGGGAGGAGCCATTCTGTTCGTGCTCTTGCAATGTCCAAGATTGTTGTGAAGAAGAGAAAAACGCCGAGTAAGATCGACGGTCGCAGCGACTTTGAATGCTCCAGAGGCGACAAAATCCCTATTGCAATGGTAGCGGCTAGATCCAGCGCTGCTGTTGCGATGGTCGCGCGTGTCCGTAATGCAGCATACAGAGGGAGCGTCCATAAGACTAGCAATGCCAATCTGAGTAGACACAGTACCACGATGGTAACCTACAGTAGAATGCATATCAGCTTACGAAGCGATAAGGCCTTGGATCTAGGGGTATTAGCTGACGAGTTTGAAAATCCGGAGAAGCGATCCTTTCACCGCGTCAGGTCGTCGATAAATTGACCAGAATCGAAACGGCACGGCGAACAGTAATAAGGTAGCTGGAAGGATGGTAAATATGCTCTCCTCAAAGAGTAAGGTAAAATCGAAGCCATCCCGACAGCTTTGGACTTTCACTGTTGGCCCGAAGGAATCGTCGGGACAAAAGGAGTTCAGCGAGTCATTCATCATGATACCCGCCGCCGACTTGCCGATGATGAGGCGAAAAGTTGAGAAGTAAATGTACGAAGTATACTCGGCCCTTCGAGTTCCTATGAGCGAATGATACTAAGCGCAAGTAAGCTAGTCGATCAGCTATCTATCCCAGTCCGTGCCTTCCTTGTACAGGTGGGCCGTTCAAAATGTTAGCGTGATCATATCGGGCAGGAGCTGGGATGTTATTTGGTGATTGATAAGGTATCCGAAGTAATTAGTACGGAGTAGTGGTATTTCCGACTTAGACGTACAGTAGAACTTGGTTACATTGGAACAGAATATTTGATTAATCAGATCCGGTATAAAGAGGTTTCCGGTATAAAAAGGCTAAGGCATTCAGGCATCAAGGATTTTGCTAAGGATTCTTAAGTTCAGACTCGTGAAATTTTCCAAAACTCCATAAATCCCCTTAGAGATAGTCATGTGACAGCCCCCTATCGGGCTTATGCGACTGAGTTTACCACCAAAATTTATACCAGATTCGATTAAAAGGTGTTCGGTATAGTAATATACCGGACAATCCGGTATACCCCATACAGAAACTGCTTGGATGGGTCATTTCCTCCGGTATAACCAGGATTCTGGTATCACCCAGTCTGGTATAAACAACTTCTACTGTATTTCCGGATCTCGATTGGTACCGAAGCGAGGGGAGGTGGGTGAGAAGGAGTTTCTTTTGCGGGACTAATCATAGCTACGAATTGGCTGTCCATGGATCAAGTTGTTAGGATGGTATATATAAACAACTTTGAGAAATCTAGTTCGATCGAGTTCAAACACAGATTTGATTAGTTGCCTACGATGAGATTTCTTCTCTCCCTGCTCGTCTTAGTACCTGAACTCGCGGTCTTTGGTACGACCGCTGCTCTTCCATCAAGCTATGCGGTCCATGAATCGCGAATCGTGGATCCCCGGAATTGGGAAAAGACCAGCAAAGTCAGTTCAAGTCTGCCGATAATAGTTCGTATTGGACTCACCCCGAGCAATCTCCACAAGGCTGAGGACTCTTTGATGGATATGTAACTATATATTTGTCTTTCCATATTCTCCTCATACTTGGCTTATTACTTACTGTCTTAGGTCCCACCCCGATTCTGTCAACTATGGCAAGTATTGGACTGCTCAACAGGTCACGGATACCTTTGCACCATCTGACGCTACTGTTTCCCAAGTCCTCAACTGGTTGAGGGGAAACGGCATTAACGAAACTCGTGTCATCCAGACTGAGAATATGGGCTGGCTGGCCTTTGTCGCTTCTGCCAGCGAGCTCGAGAGTCTGGTACATACGGAGTACTTCTACTACTCGCACAACCAGAATTCCAAAACAGTTATTGCTACCGATAAGTAAGCTGCTTATGTCTTACAATTTTCTATCCGAGCTTTGTTTTTGCTACAAACTATTCGGTAGCACCAAAGAACTGAGAGAGAGAGAGAATAATAATTACTAATGGCAAGCTTTACAGATACCATATTCCGGAAGCTATCCAGCAACATATCGATTACATACATCCCGGAATTCGAGTTGCTGCGGGAAGGGGAAAGATTCAGCGTTTTGGAAATCCCGGCCAAACTGCTCAATGGCACCCCAATGGTGACTTGGCGCACTGTGACCAAGTTATTACCCCGGACTGTATCAAGGCTCTCTACCAGATTCCCGCTGCGCCATCTGTCGTGAATGCCAAAAATGCCCTAGGAATCTTCGAGGAGGGATACTACGATGTGAAAGAAGACCTCAATCTCTTTTACCAGAACTTCTCTCTGAGTATTCCTCAAAACACACAACCCAACGTCTCTTTCGTTGACCAGGCATTGCCTGCTGCATCTAATCCCTATGCAGCGGGTGAATTTAGTCTCGATGTGGAGCTTGCCTACCCGATCGTTTACCCACAGAAGATTACACTCTTCCCGACTGACGACACTTACTACGTCGAGAACTCTTCCTACGATAGTGGGTTTTTCAATACCTTCCTGGATGCCCTAGATGGGGTAAGTTGTTTAGAATTCCTTAACCATCGTCCCAAAGGAAAGTGAGCGGAGAAAGAATGAGAATCGTACAAACTAACGCTGGCCGTCATAGTCTTACTGCACATATTGCGCTTATGGAGAATGTGGGGACGATCCAGACCTAGATCCCATATATCCGGATTCCAATAGCGGTGGCTATAACGGGACCTTGATGTGTGGTGCGTACGAGCCGACAAACGTTATTTCCATTTCCTATGGACTCCAGGAGGACGATCTACCCGTTGCGTACCAGAAGCGCCAATGCAATGAGTGAGTATCAATCATAAATCTGGTAGGGTTCGGTCTGCTGACCATTATCGCATAGATGGCTCAAACTAGGCTTGCAAGGAATCACCGTCCTCGTGGCCTCTGGCGATGCGGGTGTCGGCGGACCAGCAGGCGACGACAGTACCAATGGTTGCCTTGGATCCCAAGGAAAGATATTTAGCCCTGCTTTCCCCAACACGTAAGCATCTATTTTATTCTCCTGCAAAATTATACTCGTCTCATATCCATTTCTGGAACAGTTGCCCCTGGATTACCAGTGTCGGTGCTACAAAGGTCTACCCAGGCCATACAGCGTTTGAGACTGAAAGTGCCGCGAATGATCCATCGACTGGTTTTGCCTCTGGGGGTGGCTTCAGCAATATTTACCCCGTTCCCCAGTATCAAGCGGCAGCCGTTGCGAGATATTTCGAAACTACCAACCTGCCATATGCTTCTTATTCTGGTGAAGCAAATCTAAATACCACCAGCGGTGCATACAACAGCAGTGGCCGAGGATATCCTGACGTTGCCGCTAATGGAGACAACATCGCTGTCTGGGCTAATGGTAAATTCGCTTTGGAGGGTGGTACAAGTGGTAGTACGTCTTCGATCTCTTCCTGTTTGTCTCAGCCCCTTTTTTTCAGCTTGGCTAGCTATACAAGCACATACGGGCTGATCGTTTCTTGCGATTCTTGGAACCAAAGTTCGCTGTGTTAACTTTATATTCAACCTAGGTACACCAATCTTTGCATCCATCGTCAATCGCCTTGTGGAAGCTCGTATGGCAATAGGTAAAGGTCGGCTTGGATTTATCGCTCCAGCTTTGTATGCAACTCCCGGCGTTCTAAATGACGTTACTAACGGCACCAATCCTGGCTGTGGCACGGAAGGGTTTTATACTGCTCGAGGGTAAGCGAATTTAAATGTTTCCCTCTATGTGTATGAGGCTTCTACTCACTCATTACATTACTAATTACCTGCCTGTCCCTATAGGTGGGATCCAGTCTCTGGTCTTGGAACACCGAACTTTCCTAAGATGCTCGCATACTTCCTGGCTTTAGATTAAGGATCTACTGAAAAGGAGGATCATGGTGGGAAAAGCAAGTAGTTATCAATCGACAAATTTTTATTTGAAGTAATACAGTCACCGTGCACTCCTACTAGCCGAAACGCGTTTTTTCCATTTTTAACGCGTTTTATTCTTCAACACTACAATTTATTTTATTAATTATATCATTATAATATACTTTATGTCACGGTCGTGGACTATAGGGCTCCATTAGGCATGTGATGGTAGACCCTCAGACCTATCACATGCTGAAGAAAGTCTGTACATATATATAAATTATATAGTTTTTATAAATTTAGAAGAATTAATAAAAAGTCTTTATATTATATTTCATCTAATTGATTTATTACTAGTATTAATTTTAAAAATTCTTTTCATTTTTTAATAAAAATAGTTTATTAATTAAGACTTATTGAAAAGCTTTAATATTAATATAATCTTTATAAGAAGAATATTTAGAAATTATAATTTATATAATATAACCCCAAATCAATTAGATAGAAATATTAATTAACTTTTTAAAAAAATCAATATTAATATATAAAACAATTCAATTACAATAATTTCCCAATAATAAAAATCTGTTACTAATTCAATAATTTCAAGAAATAAAAGAAGAAATAACTATTATAAGGGAAGCTTATAAAATAATAATAAATTACTTATTATATATAATTATTTTAATTAGTACTTAATTTATTTTAAGATAATTTAGAATCTTTTTTAATTATTAGTTCTTATTTTTATAATATATTAAAATATATATAATAAAAGCTATAAAAGTAATTTTGTATATTAAATCGATTACCCATATTCTATATAAGCTACCAGCTTTTTATTTGAGAAAAGCGATAATCACCTGCATCCTCCCAGTAGCACTATTCAATATTGAAATATGATATACTAACAAACTCAAACTAAGCCTTAATCAAAGCAAATTAAATATAGATATAGATATTAAAGGCTATCTCCACTATATTAATAAAATAATTAATATTGCTATAAAAAAAGTGATTTTGGTATACAAAACTATATCGACTGTAATTCTTATTAAAAAAGCTAGTTTGCCATTAGAAATAGTTCTATTAGAATACATTAAACTGTAATTTGTATTTTATTTAAAAATGATTGATAATCAATATTTGCTAGTGAACTGTTTGAAACTCTTAAAGGTTAGTAATTAAATTATAATAATAATAATAATATTATTATAATATTTAGTGGAAGACTTAGTCAGATTTAGCTTAGGGACAAATCGAATATGAATAATAGTTAAATTTAAGTCAATTTATAAGAGCTAGGCTTAATTAAGATGAAATTGCTTGCTTTTTCTAGGTTTTCTTTAAAGAATATCCTAGGTTTATATAGTTTATAATGAAATTTTAGTGGGATTCATGCTTATAAATAAGATCGATTTAAATCGAATCTTATAGAATCATTTTATATAATAAAAAGAAAGTACAACCAATCAAATTGAATTGATTTATTAATAATTCTTCTATATGATTTTATTCCATTCCATTTCATTATAAATCATTTTGATAAGAGATATAATTATATTATAATATAATAATATAATTTCATAATAAATTATATTATTCATATATTATATAATTATAATATAACTTATTAATAAGATATTAGTAATTGATTTACTATACCTATTATAGAATTTCACAGAAACCTATAGTATGAAAGTGTGAGCGAGGAGTAAGTATAATTAAAACATCTTTTATAAGAATTCAATGGCTTAACCTTCTCATTCTAGAAATCTAATAGCCGAAATTATTTCGCCTATATTTCTTAATAGATTACAAAATAAATTTAATGGAAGGGTTAATTAAAAAGAAAGTAATTCAAGTCTTCAAAAAGTAATAACTGCAATTCCCATTTAAGGACTAACGTGGTTTATCAGTGAGTGGGTTATATCAGTGAATGGATCATTTCGAAAACCATCTAAATCAAGCTTTTTAAAATATTAATATTTTAATAATTGATTATTATTTTTTTAAATAAAAGATTTTGAAAAATAATTAAAATCTAGATTTTTTATTAATTTAATTTTTATAAAATAATTTTATTATATCCTAAAAAAAAAAGAAATTTATTATGATTTTTGTTATAAAAAATCTATTTTTATAATAATAATTTTATAAATTCAAATCTCTTAAAACTAATAAGATTTTTAATATTTTTATATATTGAAATATTTTATATCAAATTTTCAGAAAATTATATTTATAAATAAAGAAAGTGTATAGTTATGTATAAACGAATTTTATATATAAAATAAGTAACTCATTTATTAATATAACTCATTCACTGATAAACCACATTATATAATCTTTTCTAATAAATCATTAATTATAAATACTATATTAGCTATGAATATATAATATATTATAATAGTATTCAATTAGTCTCCAAATCCAAATAGATCTGAAGTGATTCATATGTATTTGATGTAAAAGTAATTAGAGTATAATGAGAAGTAAAATATTTAATTAATATATTTAAAGATTCTTTGAGTAATCGGATTTGGATGTATATTAACAATATATTAATTATTTAGGGTATTTATGGAAATTTGTTGCTTATAATATAATAAATCTTTTATAAGTATTATAAGATAATAAAAAAACTTGATATTAGAATGAAATGATTATCTGGTTATATAGAGATTAAAAGAAATAAGGAAGTAGATTATTTAATAAATATAAATACAATTGAATTTATGGATTAAATAATTAATAAACTATCAATAATTAATAGTATTCGAATAATTATTTATTAGAAGCATCTATATATAAAAAATAATCTTTTAAGTATAATATAAAGGAACCAAAAGAATTAACTCTATCAAAAGCAATTTTTTATTGACTACTAATTATAAAAACAGATTATAGTAATTATACTATCTATCACTAGTAATTCAACAATTAAAATAATAAGTTAAACTATTTATATAATAGTGTAAAAGAATTATATTATTTTTTTAAATATATTATAAACAATCTAAAACATTCAGATTGATTTCTAGTTCCTATAAAAATATAATCTAATAAACAAATAATTACATATATCAAGAAACTTTTATATATATTTAGCAAATTTACTTAACTAATTATTGGCTCAAAGTTCTATATTTAGATTTGTTCTAATTATTAAAGAATCTTTAAAAAACAATCATCTTTTTAATAAAACCTATTATTCCTTTTATAAATTTATTATTTGATTAATTATTTGAATATATTATATTTTTAAAAACCGCAAATTTAATATATAATATAAGAATCTTATTGTTTGGCTAAACAAATAGTAATCCATTTTTATTTTTTCTTCTTTATTATAGGGATTAGAGTTTATAATAAGTTTATTCACTCAGGAATTAAACTCTACCCTAATAATAATTTGGATTAAATATATTCTTTTGAGAATAAAAGCGAATTGTTTTTATAAAAAAGTAAATAGCTTTTGGTATTAAAATTAAATTACTAGATTTGGTCGCGATGATTACGCCGCTTAAATAGTTCCTTATCTTAGCACGTCTAAATACCCTTAGGAAGGACCAAAACAGACGTTAATTAATATAAATAAATAAATAAATAAATATAATAGGAAGGGTGTGGTTTATTATTTTATAAATAATTAACTTTACTAATTGAAATTGATTATAAATAATTAATACCTTATTAAATAGCTTGTATTTTAGTAGAAAATGAAATAATATATAAACTAATATTGAGAATAATAAAAAATGTTTCATTATATTTTTAATAAAATAATAAATTTATAAAGAATAAAGAGTATTTGAATTAAAGATTATATTTTATTAAAATCGTTTTGTTATAGTAAATAAATATCAATAAGCTTTTTAAATATAATAGGAATATTTATATATTGTTAGATTTTATTTTGAAGATAGAAATTCTAAAAGCTTATTATAATAATTCTATAAATAGATATTAGAATATTATAGAAACTCTAGAGATTCTGAAATCAAAATATTTCTAATTTTTAATAAAAAAGAATATTAAGGATTATATTAAAATCTATATAATATATTAATAAATTATTATAAAAAGATATAAGTTCAATAACAAATTACAAATCATTTTCATATTTTATAAATCTTAAAAGAAAAGATTATAGATTTTATTATAGATATATCTTTATTAAAATTAAATAAACATATTTATAATATAGTTTTGATTATTATTAATAGATTTATAAAACTTATCTAATACATTCCTATAAACAAAATAATTATATTATCTAAATTTATATAGAAATTAATATAAAGTATATTTAAAGATTTCAGAGTATTAAAGAGTATTATTTTTGATAAAAAGATATAATTTATAAATAAGTTTCAAAAAAGCTTTTTATTTTATTTATAAATTTATTAAAAGCTTTTAATAATATTTTATTTATAGATTAATAAGCAAACAAAACAATAAAACTAAAATTTGATCTATTTTATCACTTACTATATAAATTATTAATAAAATAATTAGGAATTACTATTTCCTTTTATTGAATTTATATATAATATTATATTACATAATATAATATAATAAATACTATTCCCTTTCAAGCAATGTATAAATATCAATTTATCTTTCATTATATTAATAAAAACACTAATATTATAGAGAAAATATTGATAGTATATAAGTGAATTACTATTTTTAATAAAAAATGAGAAAAGCTAAAAGAACTTTAATAATTCGTTATTAAATAAAGAATATTAAAAATAAAAGATATAATTCTATAATAATATAATATTGGGGATAAAATAATATTAAATATATGAAATATTAAGTAATTTCGATTAAAAAAGACATTTTCAAATCGATTTATAAGTTTTTTTATAGTAATAAATATAAAGAATAATAATCAAATATATGAATTTAAATTATCATTTATTTATAAAATTCATAATGTTTTTTATATTTCTCTACTAGAATTATATTATAAATAATCAGATATTGTAA